GTACATTTAGTAATAAACTCATATTAGAGTACTCACTTTAGTGCTCTAGGGAGTAGGAACTGCAACTATGGATCAGTCACTACCAAGGGCACTTAGAAAGCTTACTTTTTTGTAATGCAAGTGTTGGATTCATGCCGAAGAAATAGGAAATCGAATAGCCTTACATACCTTGCTATACAATTCAAAAAGTATGACTTAAGCTCCTTCTCTTCAGATTACTAATCTACAGTAAAATAAGTTGTAAGACTAGTATTAGTAGCTAATCAATCAATTTGAGCTACTTGATCTCACCAAAATAATAACCACGCAGTAAGCATGCAATTTATCTAGTCAATGTTTTATTTCCTTCCCTTTCCCTTAAATCGCATCTATATACTATACAACCTTTGTATCAGGTCCTCCCTAAACCTCCCTGCAGTATTTAAGTCCTTTAACGTCTCCATAACTTACCCGCACATCCAGTCACATCCCTTATCATAACATACATAAAACAATCCTTAAACATAATAATGTAATAGATGAAATATGAATCATTGTTTCTGATCACCAGCACTTGAAGAGTTAACATTACTTTTAAGGTGCTCAAACAAGCTCATGACTGAAGTTAAAGAGTACTCCCCTCCATGGCTGTCCCAACATGCACTAATCACCAGAACATCCTCCCCAATATTACACCATGTAAAAGTAACAATTTCCAACTCACTAACACGTACCAAGTGTCCTAATTAAATCAAGCACAAGAGGGAGAAAATTGCAGTAGCTTACCTTGCTGGACAAAATTATTACTTGCTAAGACTTGGATTCTTCAAGGTAAAGGTTGTCCTCCTTAACTTGTCTTAAATTATACCTTCCAAATAGCTTGAACTTCCTAATGTTCAAGAACCCTAATGGTATTTAATGGCTATTGTATGAAGCTAAGAGAGAGAAGAGAGAAAGCTCTAGAAATCAAATTTTTTGTCAAAGTAAAAATGGCTGGAAAAAGCTGTATCTATCCCTTTTAAAGGGACCTTCTTTGGCCGACTTTCTCACTCATTTTGGGCCATAATTTGTCAAGTAGGTGAC